CCAAAAAAAAAAAAAAAAAAAAAAAAAAAAGAAACCACAATGATATACCACCTTCACCGGTCAGAATGGCCATCATTAAAACGTCCCCAAATAACAAATGCCGGAGAGGGTGTAGAGAAAAGGGAACTCTCCTACACTGCTGGCAGGGATGTAAATTGGTACAGCCACTATGGAAAACAGTATGGAGACTCCTCAAAAAACCAGAGATAGAGTTGCCATAAAATCCAGCAATCCTAGTCCTGGGCATTTATCTGGAGAAAACTAATTCAAAAAGATACACACACCCCTTTGTTCATCGCAGCACTATTTACAATAGCTAAGACATGGAAACAACCTAAATGTCCATCAACAAATGAATGGATAAAGAAGATGTGGTACATGTATACAATGGAATACTACTCAGCCATAAAAAAGAATGAAACAATGTCATTTGCAGCAACATGGATGGACCTAGATATTATCATACTAAGTGAAGTAAGTCAGAAAGAGAAAGACAAATACCATATGATATCACTTATATGTGGAATCTAAAATATGACACAAATGAACTTATCTACGAAACAGAAACAGACTCACAGACATAGAGAACAGACTTGTGGTTGCCAAGGAGGGAGGGGAGGGGAGGGATGGATTGGGAGTTTGGGATTAGTAGATGCAAACTATTACATTTAGAATGGATAAACAACAAGGTCCTACTATATAGCACAGGGAACTATATTCAATATCCTGTGATAAACCATAATGGAAAAGAATATGAAAACGAATATATATATATTATAACTGAATCACTTTGCTGTACAGTAGAAATTAACACAACTTTGTAAATCAATGATACTTCAATAAAATAAAATAAAAAGAAAACTTCCATTCTCATTTACTTATTTTTGTGAACAATGTAACATTTAACCACCAAATAAAACATAGGCCAAATAAAAACATAGGCCTATCATCTCATTGAGCAAAACATTTTTACTGAACTTTTTTCATGTTTAATAATTATTTATCATAATTTATAACATCTATATTGTTCTGACCAATTATGTACTACTAATAATTATGATGCTAATTGAGTCCAGAAGAAATTTAACATCTATAATCTGATAATCATAGGAAATTTTTTTTTCTGTGTGTGTGTGTGTGTGTGTGTGTGTGGTACGCGGGCCTCTCACTGCTGTGGCCTCTCCCGTTGCAGAGCACAGGCTCCAGACGTGTAGGCTCAGCGGTCATGGCTCACGGGCCCATCCGCTCCACGGCACGTGGGATCGTCCCAGACCGGGACACTCATTGGCAGGCAGACTCTCAACCACTGCGCCACCAGGGAAGCTCAGGAAATTTTTTTTTTTTTTATTTCAATTCATATGGTATTTTGTTGCAGAAAAAAATAATAAAGTAATCAATAAAATACGTCTAAGGATAAAAATATGTTATATCAGGATAAAATTCCATGGGGAGAAGTGCAATGGATTTTGCACTTTCAATGGAAAAGTCTAAGGAGAAGATGCAAGATACAATTCCAACTTTAAAGAAGACCTTGTTTTCTTTTTTTTTTAATGAATAATGGTGGGCATCAAACTGCCATGGTATTTAGATCCTATTGATACATTTTTTAAGGTGTCAATATATGCAGGAATTCCCTGGTGGTCCAGTGGTTAGGACTCCATGCTCTCACTGCTGAGGGCCGGGTTCAATCCCTGGCCAGGGAACTAAAATCCCACAAGCCGCGTGGCGCTACCAAAAAAAAAAAAACTCAGTACGTGCAACCAGAAATTACATCCTTTGAAATTATTTAAACTTCTAATACAAATTCTAAAAATGATTGTGGGGAATACAGCAGCTCAAAAGTTTGAGACTGCTGGCTAAAGACAACAGCAGGAAATATGTACCCATAGTAGGTATATCAATGAATCTTTGTTGAACTTAATTAGCAGCAAGAGGCAGGGAGACTACGACTAGAGGCAGGGAGACCAAGAGAAGATTGTTACCATAGTCCATTCAATTTTAATTTTATTAATGGACTGGCCTCTCTGTATTGGGAACTGTACTATGATCTGGAGATCAAATAGTAACC